GTGCTACTTTCTCACCTACAGTATTAAAAGACATGGATAATTGAAATTTATAATTAATCCAAAAAATGTCATGTAGTTGAAAGAGCACTGTACTAGAAGCCAAGGGATGAAGGTTCCAATTATAGTTCTTTATCCAGATAATTATTTGATATTAGAGCAAACACTCTCTCTAAGCTTTTATTTGTTCACTTGTAAAGTAATGCCAACTGTCTAGACAATTGCTAATTGGGAAAATCTATGGAACTGGCTGTTTCTAGACCAGCATTTCATAAAGGTTGTTCTAAGGGGTGCTAACAATTCTTTTGGTGGAGGTGGGTTTCTTTGTAGTAGGAATTCTAAAGAGCATTGGGATTCTCTGCTGCCTACTCCACAGCCTTCTCATCCTGTTCTTCCTTGCCAGCACAGTCTATCCTGTTTGGACAAGTGAACATGAATGAATTAGAATAGCTTTTAGAACTTAAGTGCTCAATAAATGTTACATATTAATGAACTAGAATCAAATATATGTTGAAATCCCAAAACATGTTAAAATTTAAGTACCAATTGGTCCCACAAAGAAGACTTGGACAATTCCTAAACTAGGTAATTTTAAAGTGTGACTGGACTCTGTGAATATGATTCCTTCCTATTTCACCTGCTGTGTGTTCCACCATGTCTCTTCTTATAAACAGGTTATTTAGCAACCTCTAGGCTACACAGTGAAAAGCATCAACCAATGTTAGAAACTTGAAGTGTTAGAATAATTTGCTAGTCAGTGCTGAGTCAGGACTTAGTCATTTAGTATTACATTAGAAAATCCATTAGAAAATAAATGGTAGGAAATAATTTAGATGAATGAAGTTGGAATTATGTGGTTGCTCACTTGATTTAAAACTCCTCTTACAATTTAAAAATATATACCCCATTAGCTTACAGGGTACAAGACTATAAACCCTTTTAGGTCAGTAGAAGATTTCTTCAATGCATTTTATAACACTTTATTGTTGGATAAAGAATTAAGTCATTTCACTTCCAGGAATGTGTCCTTTGAATCCTGAAACACCAATCAGAAAGAACATATGCACCCCTATAGTCATAGCAGCGCTATTTACAATAGCTACGATCTGGAAACAGCCCAAGTGCCCATTAGTAGAAGCATAGATAAAAAAAGTTGTGGTATATTTACACAATGGAATATTATGCAGCTGTAAAATAGAAGGATCTTTTACTCTTTGAGACAGCATGGAGGGAACTGGAGAGTATTATGCTGAGTGAAATAAGCCAGTCAGAGAAAGACAAATACCACATGATCTCACTTATATGTGGGCTCTAACGAACAACATAAACTAACGAACAGAACTGATCCAGAGACATGGAAGCAGGGAACAGACTGATGAACCTCAGAGGGAAGTGGGGAGCGGGGCGAGAAGAGATAAACCAAAGAACTTATATGCATATATGCACAACCAATGGGCACAGGCAACAGTGCACTGAAGGTGCAGGGTGGCAGGAGCGGGGACTAGGGGGTCAATGGGGGGAAAAGGGGGAGAACATCTGTAAAACTTTCAACAATAAAGATAAATGAAAAAGACACATATATTTATTGTACATCTACTGTACTGTCTTGAAGATTTGGACAAGGCATCAAAAACAAGGTTATATTTGAGCTTGAGCTTAAAAGGTACATAAGTTCACCAAGTAGACAAGAGGCAAAAGGGGCGAGACAGCTAAAAGGAACAGAACCTATACAAGCACAGAGGTTTGAAAACAAGCGGCAGTGTGGGAAAACGGTGAGCACTTCACAGTGGCTGCATGTTGAGGTTACTGTGGAGATCTGGCCGGGAATGACAGTGGTGGAGAGGAAGTAGCCAGGTCACAAAGAGCCCGTGAATATGAACTGTCTGCAGAGTCTGTGCATAAATACTTCATCTTGGAAGATACAGAAAGAACAGGAGGGGCCAGGAGGGAAGGTTGTTGGTTTTTAACAGAATACTGTTGATGACTTTCCCATGTTAAAAAATGAGATATGAAAACTATATTGAACTCTGGGTATATTTTAAACCCCAGATATCAGTAAAAAAAAAAAAAAAAAAAAAAATGGTGATTAATATAACCCAATCATAAAAATGTTTTGATTCCTAATACTTGTTAAATTGTGTCTCCTTAAGTGAAACAAGCTTGCGAGCTGATAAAGATTAAACTCTCCGGCTCCCTGAAGGGGTCTCAAGAAAGAAAGAGCAGGGAGAATAGCCCTTGTTCTTGCAGTAGCAGCCTGGGCATATGAGCCCCATGAGAAGTAGGACCAGTGCCAATGGCCTCGGGGAGCCGAGTGGGGGGCAGTGATTAAGGGCTGGGCTCTGTTTGGCATTTTGTGGGCGCAGTGTTATGATGAATCGCTGGGACACAAATGCTGCTCCTTCTTTAAGCACCCCTCCCACTCTTCATGTAAACAGGATCTCAGGGTGGGCCAGACAGCGCAGCTCTGGGAGGGGCCACGGATGTGTCTGCTGCCCTGCACATCCCTCTGTCCAGAGATGACACGTGCCCAACCTATTACCACACCCTCTCCTGAAAGCAACCAAAAGAAAACAATACAAAACGGGTAGAAACCAAAGCTTTAATTTCTCCGAGAAACTCCATAAATATGTTTTTTCTTTGCTTTTAAAGTGACACATATGAAAAGTACTCAGTCTGATAGGATCATGAGGGTAGACAAGGGATGACTTTGTTATTCATCCCTGCCCAAATTCCTCCAGTTAATTCTGAGGAGCCATCTGCATCAGCTGGCTAATGAGCTTGGCCATGGTTCTCCATGCGGTGGGAAGCCATTGGGAGTTGCTAAGCTGGGACATGTGATCAGATTTGTGAGTGAGAAAGGCAGCACTGCACAGACAGAGGTCAGTCGGAGGCTCTGCAGGGGTCTAATTAAGGACAAAGCTCTGCCTGTTGCAATGGTCCTGGACATGAAGGCTGCAGAGAGTGGAGATGGTGGGAAGAAAAAGGAGGAACTGGGGAGGATGCGTAATTTCAGACCAAGTCACTGGAGAGCAATACTGATCACCTAATGGTAAAGGGTCGCTCATCTCATCCTTTACTCTCTAGTACTAGGGGAAATGGGGCAAGAAGCCAAAGACTTAAGCATATGGAGGGCTTTGATATATATTCACAAAGTAAATCCTAGGAAAATGATATTATTTTATTTCATTTTATTTTATTTTTATAGTTTATTTCATTTCATTTTACAAATAGCATATAAGAGGCATACAGCAAAACTGTCCCCAATACTGGATCCACCAAGGGTTTAAATCCTGGTCTTGCTACCTAATAGCTTTGTGATTTTGGATGAATTATTAACGGCTCTGTGCCCGTCTCCTCATCTCTTAAGTGAAGGGAATAACTGAACTCAACGAAGTATTCTGAGGCTTGACTGAGTGTGATGGGAAAGGATTTAGATGCTCCCTACACAGCCTGGAGTTCAGTGCCTGTCCTGTAGTCACCATCTAATAAATATTATGTTCTATCTCTGTCTTACCAAAAATTAAGAGTGAAGAAGCAGAAAGTCCACTTGCAAAGAATAGAAACCTCAGCTTACTTCTCTTCCTGCACTCAAGGTCGTGTCACTCAGACGGTTCCACAAAAGAAATCAAGAATTAGCTGAAAAACCAACTTTGTGTCTCTGAGAATGTGCACAAGAGAAAGGTAAAAAATTCCCAGACACGGGGGTACTCAGAGGCTCAGCCCTTTGAAGACCAAAGTGCTTGCTTATAAATAGAATATTAAAACAAGCAAGGGTAATTTTCTCCCTTCGTCTTCCCTTATTGCCTAATTTTCCTCTCATACCATTTGCATAATGGATAAAAAGACATCCATTATGCAAATGAATGATAGGGCTGTGAAGTTGCTGAAGCCACAAACCTGGCTTCCCAGGCAGAGAAGCTGCCAGGAAGCCCCCCAAGCCTGGGGGCCAGCAGACTGCTTCACTAGCTTGTGTTCCGAAAGACAGAGAAACCATGAAGACTGTAGATCATTAATTTCCACTTGGTTCTTCTAAAAGGAGAGCTACAGATGTTTCCCAGAAAATTAGTGCAAAATATGGATACTCGGTATTGTGGTATGTAAAATAAATTTGACAGTATACATTTTGTTTCAACCGCGAAAAACTAATACTACGTACAAGTTTTATAATTTGAAGCATATGCTTCACTTTAAAAAGAAAGTGGAAAAAGCCTCTGTTCTAGCTTGAGAATTAACCTATAACAGGTGCTTCAAACTGTCTCAAAATGCATGTGTACATTCAACAGGAATAAAGAATTGTTTTAAGTACCAGAATACTGAAGTTGTCCAAAACTTCATGCTGTTAAACTGACCTACATTTATCTCTGAGAGATATCACCAAAACTGACATATTATTCCTCTTAGAGTTGTAAGTTCACTGAAACTTGAGAAGAATGTTTATTCTCTCCTTCCACCACACCTTCAAAACAAATATGAGGGAAAAAGCATTCTGAGCAAACTCACTGGGTGAGTTGCTCTTGTTTAATAAACGAGTAGGACAGAATTAAGAAACTAACTTCAAAATGTTTTCCCCAGACTCTGAGATATGTAGTTTGGGGAGAAAAAGAAGGTGGCTAAAACAGAAAGTGACCTTTATTTCTAGTCTGGATGCCTTGATCACTCTGAGCTTATTCCAAATGACATTTTCAGGGACTTTAGAAAAACATTCTCATGGGCTAGGGCAAACCTCCTCACTTCCATTCTAATCCCTCCCCTCTGCTGGTTCAAGGGCACACAACTCAGATTCAGAGTCACTTGCAGTGCAAGAAAAACTGCATCGACCTGCCTGAGCTCCAACAGCTGTGAAGAGCTTTGTATGTAAAAAGAATAATCATTTAGAGAAAGAAAACAGATATTTTTTAAAAGAAAGATACTAACAAAGTGAGTCACAACGTAGAAGCAATTCATAGTCAGAAAGTTGACGCATATCAACCAGGTGAAAAACATACCACTGAAAATACACGTACCTAATTTCAGAGCAGAAGGGGTCACTTCAATTTCCCCACCGACGGGTTTAAACGCCGCCAGCTGGGCAGCCACTTCGGTCCCAAAGGCATCCGGGCTCTGCCGCCCTGCAGGGTTTCCACCGGGGCTCTCGATCTTGTGGACCGGTTCTTGTTCGTCAAACACGGCAATCAGCTGCAAACAAACCCGATGACACCAATTACTTCGCGGGACACACACATCACCCGGAGACTGTATCTAGCGGTCTGGGATCTTCAGTTTGAAAGAAAATGGTCTCTGAAAACTGAAAACTTAGCATGACTGTACCCACAACTCTTCCTTCAGTATCATGTCTACAAGAACCATGGCCAGGAAATGATTAACGGTTTATGTATTAATTCCTGAAACAGAGAACCGACTTTGGTTATCTGTCTTGAAGGGATGAAATGGCTGCCTCCTCCCTTCCCCTTTTCTAATAAGTCTAAACGGACTTCAGTCTCTCTTCTAAGAGTTATTCCAAAAAGTAAAAATCAAATATGCAGAAAAGGAACAGTAGACATTATGAAATCCATAACTACATCTTTCCCTCTAGACACAATCATAATTCACTGATAAATAAAGTGTGTATATTTACACAGCATTTGTATTTATCTTGGACACACAGAAAACCTATTTTTACACACGCCTTTAGTTTGGGTCTCTTCCTCCATGACTGCTTCGATGTTGACCAAGTCCAGCGAATGCCGATTTCAATGAGAATAAACAGCACTTTAACCTAATTATTCCCATCTCCATCTCAGTTCTCTTTCATATGAGACCTACGCTGCTTGTCATGAATAGAAAAATGTTTGTCAATGTCCAAGTCATTTTTCATAAAATAAGGGCAAAACATCATAAAATATTCCATTCCTTGTGCAAACACCGCTGTGTAATCAGTGAGGGCAACCCGGCTGAACTGCATGCCGGGCCAGCCGGCGGCTCCGTCCCTCTGTCAGTGACGTGGGCGAGTCTGAGAGGGCAGCTCGGGGACGCTCCTGTCCACCCAGCCAAGTGCAGTGTGTGCCACTTTGAAAACCAATGCATCTCTCCGTAGTTTCCATTCATTAAATACAACAAGCCTACTTGTGATTCCCACGCTCACTCGGGAAAGGCCCTCGCCCCATTCATAGAGGAACCGTGTTGGCGATAGTATTAATGACACAGGCGCAGGGGTAACCAATCAAAACATCATAAATTCCAAGTTCAATCTTTCAAAAGAAATGAACACAATTAGGGATATGTAAATTGGCTATTCAAAAATAATTTTCATAATTGACTACTCATTTCCAGTATGGAGACTTGTTTAATTGGAAAATCCAACAATCCTCTCACCACGGAAACAAAGGCTGCCCCAAGGCACTCCTGAATTCTTAAACTGCAGCACACACATTTTCTGTTTGTTAACTGGTAGTACCGGCGAACTGACTTCAGATTAGACTTAAATGGATTAAGATGAAATGTCATTCTAGTATAAAAATAATCCCTAGAACTATATCTTTCTAATTACCTGGCAAAAGTGAACTTTAACACTTTCAATCCTGAAAAGGAAAATAAAATCAAGTTTTAAAATGTGGCACAAGTGTTATTTTCATCACTATTTATGTGATAATTATAATTTCAATTTTACACGTTGGTAAATTCTAACATACAATAGTAACATTTGTTTTAATTCACCAGTCAACTAAAGAAAAGTGTTTTATTACACTGGTACTACAAACAGTTTCATGCAAGTTAAGAGTAATACCCTACTTTTCCATCTTGTTACATCCTTAACTCTTACTATAGCCAATATGTCTTATATATTGGGGCAAAGAAAAAAAACAAAACAATCCAAAGTATAATACAAAAGCTTAAAATTGGTAACTCCTAAGATTAAATCATTATCTATAGCTACCATCTAACATTTTTCCTTAAGATATGTTACTGTTTATCATACTGTTTGTTACATCCACACAAGTGTATAAAGTATGCAGTAACAACGTTATACCGATCAATGTATGAAATAGAACAGAGTAGTTTGGAGACTGTTTCCCAAAGTGATGACCAAAGAGCAAGGTGTACTAGAATCTAGTCTTTATTTCCAACCCAGTGTTTCTAGACCCCGACACTGTAATAACCATTTTCCAAAAAGAAGTTGTCCAGGAGGATGTCATGCCCTAAAGAATGTGAACTCTACTCTTTGGAGATACAGGCAATACACAACTCTTCTCAAAGATGATGCTCATGATATCTGGAGGCTCCCCAAATCTCATACTCTCTGGCTAATTAGTTGCTTTGTCTGTCTCCCATGACTGACAGGAATTACCTCTTCAGAGTGCACTCTGAATGTATGGATGAAGAGCTGAATGAATGAAATCAAGTCTCTGCTGGAAGGAAGAGGATCAGTTCCTAAATCTGTGATGCCTAGAGTCTCCGGCACCACAGGCGCTGGCTGGTGAGACTCTCTGTCCAGGTTTCAACTCCACGTCTGCCATGCACACAGACTTACACTTGTTTCAACATCCATCCGTAATAGGTGCTTGGAGCTAGATTACTTCATTCACCAGAACACGTACATTACTGGGTAACAGAGTTTGCAGCAGACAGTGTTACATACATTAAATAACATGAACCACTGTTCTAGTTCCTCAACAGAGGGCGTGCTGATTTCCAGTGTCCAGGGTATGCAAATGGCCTCCTCTGCCTGCCTTTAACCCATCCAAAACGACCTGTCCCACAGAGATTCGTTTGACATGAAAGAAGAAACTCTGTTATCATTTTTGTTTGTTTGTTAAGGCTTCATCTAGTTTAAACTTCTGTGGCACGTGGAAGATTTTGCATTGACCTCTTGGAGATTTCAGTAACCCAAACTCAACGCAAAATGCAAGCAGGCAATCTTTGATTTGGATCCTGCCTCCTCTGCCGCCCTATCCACCTTCTGGCGCCTCTGCTGCGTCCCTCCTACTGTGACGCCAGGGTTCTCGTGCCACCCAGTGCAGCACTGACATTTCCCAAACAGCCCACGATCCCAGATGCTCTGGTCACGCCGCCTTGACTTCCGGTCAGAACGCCTATCCCCACAGATCTCTCTCAGTAATTAGCTACTTAACCCCCAGATGTGCACAGGAAGATCAGGCTACAAATATGCAGTTCATTCTCCCACCCAAAACAAAACAACCTTCTCAGGACTCTTGCCTCTACAGATAACCACCCCGTTTCTCACCTCCCCCTAAAGTAAAATCCGAAAGAGCTGTGCACAGAGCGCTTTCCGACCTCTCTCCCATTTCTTTGCTGAGGTCCCCCTCACGAGGCTCTTAACCCACTACTCCATGAAACTGGTCTTGTCAAGGTCAGAAACAATCTGCAGGTTGTGGAATCCAAAGCCCTCCTCTGGCTTGATTTTAGGACACAGTTGATCATTGCCTCCTCTTTAAATTACTTTCTTCACTTGCCTTCCAGGCAATACATTCTCACTCTATTGCTTGCTTTCAATACTGTTTTTCAATTACAGTTAACATTCCCTGGCTTCTAGACTGAGTCCCACTTGACTTGTTTATTCCTCTTCTACTTTCACTTTGTTGCTTCTCTTTAATCTCTTCATCACAGGATTGATGGAGGAACAGAGAAAGCACCAAGATCAAACACATCAAATAGGTATTTTTGTTTTTCCTTTTCTCTTGTTCTTCATCACACAAGAACACACAACCCTCAGACACGCAGTCCTGCTCTTACAACGAGCGAGACGTGGTTGGCTCTCTGTCCTGTGCTCCCGTAACTCGAAGCAATGTGCCAGAGCTGTTAGTTTGTACACTGACAAGTAAATATTTTAATCCTAGCACCATGAAGTGCCTTTGGTGCAGGGTCCTTCAATATTCATGATGTGGTTTGCTCTCTTGTCAACCTATAGCATTCTGTCACTTTTATAGCATGAGTTTTTATAATTTGAAGCTATTATCTTTGGCCCACATAGAGAATAAAAAAAAAAAAAAAAAAGGATCCAAATGCCCATTGAACATAATACAGTACTTTTAAAATATATTTTTATTAGTAATTACATTGACAAATATGTGGCTCGATTTTAATTACATGTCAAGTGAACTAATGTACTACTAAGAAATGCTTATTTCCCATATTGAGTTCTTTGGGTTAAACCGTTGAATATAACAACATAGTGTTATTTTATTTTACTGTTTTATACATTTTTCGCATTACCAATAGCTATCAAGTAAAATGAAAAGACAAAGGAAGAAACAGTATCCTACAAAACAAAATTGGAATCATTTGTCTCAAATCTTAATAAACACAATTAAATCTAAGTAAGACTGTGAAATTACAACAATTTCACAAGTAGAGGAAAACACATTATCACCTTTGGGAAGAGAGTGAAACAGCAGAATTTCATTTAAATGTATGCATCTGCTTGAAACTAAGTAAGAATTGGGTCTGTGAGCTAATTTTATGCCACTTTAAACAAAGCTCCGAAAATAGGTTCTTTTCCTTCATAGGATTTTGACAGCTAGCTCAAAGCACTTAGTCCACATTTTTTACATTAGCAGGCTCATACTACTAATATCTTCATCAGATGCTAGCCTTCAGATCTAGCACCTCAGAACAAGTACAACTTGGATTCTCAGAAAGTTCAATCCACATTCAGTAAATGAGATAAAACCAATTTTTTTTCCCTATCCAAACTGAAAATCTATAATAAAGACCTTTACAAACTTTATAGCTTTAAGCTTCATTCTAAAGAAAATAAGATGGTTTATTTAACTGTACTAAGAATGCTATTTATCTTTATCACTTTTTAAAGAGGCAGTTGCCTAAATTACTCCGTAATCACCAAACATACATATATTAAAAACCACCCATATTTCAGCTAAAAATACATTTACCTCCTTTAATTATGTAATGTAGTAAGTTACTTAGAAGCCAAGGTATACATTAACCACATTTTATATTGAATCTTTTTTTCCCCTCTGACTTGAATTAAAATTTCAAAGATGATATATTACCATTTGACAAGTTTGAGAGAATCTTGAGTTTGTTTTTGCTGCATTCCTTACTTGGCTTAGTAAGAACAGCTCACCTTTTGTGAAACAACATTCACAACTCATATCTATTTTTTTTTTTTTTAATCCTCACCCGAGGACATTTTTCCATTTTTTGTTCAGGTAGAG